GCTTGTGACGTGACATTTCATCACCCCCAAAAACCATAAACCACAACAAAACTACAAAGGTAGATCCAGACTACATTACATATGAGTTCACTGGCAGGTGAGGACGGTTTTGTGCTTTGTAAAAGGGGAATTATTGGCTACTGAAAGCATGAAAACATTGAAATGTATCAACTATGTATCATAAAACAAATCTGGGTCCTGAACGAAACCAGTTGCGATTCAATGCATTAGAGAATAATACTCTACTGAGTGTATCTGTTATCCTGGTTAAAAGTGTTTCCAGTGTCCCATGTTTTTTTAAACACTCCAGGATAGAGGCCTGAAACGTCTATGGTAGCTTTTTACGGTTTTGCAGCAAGGTCAGTGCTTTTATATTTGGCCAAGTGAAAATTGTGCTGCACGCGGTAGACGGCCAGTTCCCCCTCCTCTTCTCCTGAGCCGGTGCTTAATGTCTGCAATGCCCTTTTCAACTTGGTCAGAAACACTTAAGATGAAAAGACTAATCACAATGCTCTGACCATTTCAAGGTCCTGTTGTCTTTATTCTGCAAACACATGCAAACTTCTTTCTGCTGCGTGGGTCGACGCAGGCATGTGCAGGTGAGTCCCACGGCTCTGAAGACGCTTAAGAACTATGGGATTTTTTTAACAACATGGCATGCTGCATGCATGGATTTTGGCTGAGCTGCATTTCTAAATCAGTCCTGCGTGATTAAGACAGCAGTTTGTTCAGTAGTGCTCAGTCTGTTGGCAGGAGTGAACCGGTTGTTCTGTCTGATTAATTGTTATAAATGTACCGATGAAAGTCGCTTGAAGTAAGTTCATCTCAGACAAAAGAGGACACAGAGTAAGCAATAAAATTATGCGTGCTGGTGATTTTAGATGGGCAAATGTTTCCTTTGCATTTCCATTTTTATTGCCGTCTATTCCAGGCCATTGCATGGGCAATAGAAACGCAAGCTTAAACCATTTGTTTTGATTTTTTTTCTACGCTAAACTTTTCCATTAACATCCCACCTACATAATAAATTATTGTGCATTTAAAAATGTTGGACGTACAATTTGTGCATAAATCTAATCAGATCAAGGGTCAGTAAGCCTGAACTATGAAGTTATCTCATTTGTATTAACGTTATGGAGCAGAAGCCTGACTTTGATTGGTGACGTACAATTAAAAATAAATCCTATTTAAGCATCACTACAGTTTTTGTTTTTTATTGGGAATAAATTGAATCTATTCTATAATTTCTGATTAATAGAAATACATGTAATTTGTGTTTGTATATAATATGTTTCATTATTTTTGCATGTATCAAAATTAAAAAGATAGATTAAAACTACACTGCAACTAAATACATATAAAGCATTTGCATCTTTTTTTAAACTTGGATATTTGTGTGGGTGTGTATGGTATTTTATTTTTCAATATTTTTAGGCGTATCAGGTGATGTTGAGATATTGGCTATTGAGTCTACTTAAAATTTCCCTTTTAGGGAACTGCAAAGCAATGAAGTTTTATAATGCATAGATACTATATAATAGAATTGTTCAAAACAGACTGTCAGTCAAGGGATTTTCAGTGAAAGTTAAATCTTTACACCAATAGGTGGTGACAAGTGACTCGTATAACTGAGTATTGAATCATTCACTCAACCGATTCGTTCAAAATACTGAATCATTCAGGAAGCAAAAAACGTGAGTGACTGAGTCATTGAATCATTCACTCAACCGAATTGTTTAAAACACTGAATCATTCAGGAAGTAAACTGCTCAGAGAAATTATGCTTTGACTTTGTTTAATACGGAACTGTTTTCATTGGCGGAAATAAATGCACAAACAAACTGTGTCTTAAATGTAAGATACTTAATATTTGCTTCTTGTTTATTGAAATGTTGCATAAAAGCATTATCACTCCTGCTGTTGATTACATAAAAGTGGTGCAGATGCCGCGGTATCATGTGAGACTGCTATTATAATCCATGCAAAATTGAATGATGACTTGTGTTTTATATCATTTTGAAAAGTTATGTAGATTTTATTACAGAATTCAAACAATAAATGTTGTTTACACTCTTTAATGTGTTGTGACAGTTCTGTTTGACACCTGAGTGCAAACAGAAAACCAATCAACTCTTCCTTTTTACTGTTTAACATGAAAGACAATGAACATCAGAAAGTATGTGGAAAATACTGTACTATATTGCTAAAATCGTAAATTATTTATATTTATTGTGTATATATATATATGTGTGTGTGTGTGTGTGTGTTGGGGGTAAGGCATTACAAGTAACGCAAGTTACGTAATCAGATTACTTTTTCAAGTAACTAGTAAAGTAATGCATTACTTTTTAATTTATATATTTATTTGTTTTATCTTCTGTGTAATTTAGAATTCTAATTTGCTGTTCTTGTCTCATTTGTTTTCTTTTTTGTTAGTTTTTTTTTAAATAATATTCCATGATTTTACTTCTTTCATAGAGTATTATGTATTAAAAGAAAGTTTCGGCGTGTTTGTTAATGGTAGTGGTGTATCCCTGCTTTGAGAAAAGTGTTTCCACAGAGAGCAGAGGATCCTGGGAAATCGATGGCGGTGCTGAGGGCGGGTTTGTGTTGGGTTTCAGGTTCCGCGCGCGCCTCTGGTAACGCTGACAGCTCCCAGAAGAACGTGGGCGCATTAAAAGCAGAGCGATTCAGGAGCGCCAGAGACCCTCCCCCTCATAAAGCCCGCTGTCATAAACGCTTCTTGTCAGCAGGCGTTGTGTGGTGGTCCTGAAACGGTTGCCAGGCAACCTGCGCTGCATTGATATGCAAGTTGGAGGGAATCAAGGGAAGCCTTCTGCCTCTGGAGCATCAGTGCTGGGCGGTGCGACTCCCACCAAACACGAGCGCTCTCGTCTGTCTGATAACACACGCTCAAGGCTTCGCATCTCAAAAGATCACTTTTGCACTCCAAGGCACTTAACGTCCTAGTTTTGATCATCTAACCTTAGAGAAGCTACTTTACAGTGCTACTTTAGTACTGAGAATCCAAGAAAAGAGCTTATGGAGTTTGTTAACGGGGCTTTGGCTAATTAAAAAGAGGTACTGCCGGTAACTGAACTGCCCTCTCTCATCTGTTCATCCACGAAAGAACAAAGAGAGAGAGGGTTTCGCACGAGGAGCTCATGACAGCTCAACTCGGGAACAAGTGAGATGAAACTGGGCAGGAAAACACTGGAGCGCCGCGAGAAACGACACACGTCGGACGCCTGGAAAGCGCAGCCTCTCTCTGTCATTCTGGAACTCCCTCCCAGCTAAAGGATGATGGGATACGACTTCACTCTGAGCTGCCAGGGATTTGTATGTGTTTCAGAAAGACGGTCCCGCTCAGCATGTCCGATGCTATGTTCCTCCTGATGCTGTGTAAGGTAAGATGATCCCCGTCTGCTGGGATCCAGAGGCGTTTGACGGCAAAGTAGAACAGGAGAAATTAATTTCATGTTCATTGAGAGAATTTTCTGCAAAACTTTGCCTTTGAGATTTCATGCATACAGTTGTGGCATTAAATACTATAAAACAAGAGTGAAGAAAATATTACTATTAATATTGCAAAAGTGATGGGTTGTTTATTCCTTCAAATTATAATAAAGTTACTGGAACTATTGATGAATTAGTGCTTTTTATGGACTGACATTTCAATAAAAATTCTGAAATAATTTGTTTCTGAAATCAGTTCAGCTTTAAAAATTGAACAAGTTTCAGCTTAATTTTTAAAGCTATACTAGATTTTCTAACACAGTTCAATATAATTTAAATGAACTGAAAAACATTTTTTAATTGAAATGACTTTTACATCCAACTTGATTATACTTAAAAATTTAAGGCAGCAACTCTAGTTGAACTAGGTGGATTTTTTTACAGTGTGATGAACTGGGGGAAAAAAATACGTAGAAACAATTTTCACTCAGAAATGGCTAGTAAATGTAACAAATAATGACAAAGAAAAAACAAGAAATAGAATTTAGATTTTTTTTAATAGGAAGACTGAGCAATTTCACCTTTTTTTAAGTTATACAAGATTCTGTAACTTGATATTTAAGTCAGTTTAGTCCTACAGCCAATTTAATTAGATTTAATTTCATTCTTACACTAAAAAAAAGGTAATCTAAAAATGGTAACATCTAAATCAAATAGTTTAATTCAACTCAGAAATATTATTTAACATCACTGAACCAACCTATAAACATTAATTTACACAATTATACCAACAAAATGAATTTTTATAGGTAGAATCAGGTAGAAAAAGCTCTTAAAGCAGGTTACCGCTTTTTACAGTGTATTTATTATAAGTATAGGTTGCAAATGATTTGAGTATTTGTGACCAAATATGTGTTATGAGAAAGTGCTTTTGGCAGCATTATGTGCTTTAGATTGAATTCAGTTCCACCGTATAAAACAGATCCTGGTCAGATATAAAACATGCATTTAACATGTATTTGCTCAGGAGTGTGTGCGTGTGTGTGTGTGTGTGTGTGTGTGTGTGTGTTTGAACTCATTTTAAATCAACGCTGGCAGCAACACTGTCAGAGCAGCTTAATGTCTTCAAACATTTCATATGCCTGAAATAATTCAAGTGGGAAAAGGTTTGACCATTCACTTATCCAGAGAGCTTCATTCAGAGCATGTTTTCTGCTTAGGAATGAAAGTCCATCTGACTGAACATCATCTGTGTATACAAGGAGTTGCCGTTAATATGCAACATGGACAAAAGTATTTGTTGGGTTTAAACCCTTGCATTATGTTCCAGAGAGACTTGCATGTTGATCAAGGATGCAGGGATTTGGATATATTCAGTATCATCTAATCTGATAACATCTAATAACTTTCACTTTCAGTTGATCTCAGAGGTGTTCAGTGGGGTTCAGGTTAATTGGCATTAAAGAGCCCAGAAAAGCCTCTTCATTAGAATGGTGTCCAGATATTTTCCATCATACAGTGCAAATGCAGTCAGGCAGCAAAATCTTTTGCATTTGTCGTCTGTCAGGCTGTTCTTGCAGCTTGGTTGCGTCAAGTCTGGTTATGTGGGTTCTCTGCAGGAAATATAATATTTCTCAATGCCAAGGAATGGGAATTAGAAAAAGAAATTTGCAAAGTAACATTTTCACATTTATAAACTCTGGGTTGACAATTAAATGTGCATAGCAATCAAATCAAATTTACTAGCAATTCCTCATTGGTTCAAAGTAAATCCTACGCCATTTTTCCAGTAAATATCAGTTAAAAGTCAAATTTAAGAATAGACTAGCATATAAATTACGTCAGAGCAAACAAAACAACACTGCACGACCTTTTACTTCCATTGCATGGATAAAAAACAGACACTATCAGGTGAACTATCCCTTTAATATCACTTTTGCAATATTAATATAAATATTTTTCGCTCTTGTTTTATAGTATTTAATGCCACAACTGTATGCATGAAATTTCATAGACAAAGTTTTGTCTTTGTCATAAATGCAGTTAATAAAAATGAATTGGACAAGAACAGCAATAACAAGCATGCAACCTGTTTTAATAATTGTCTATTTGCAAATGGTTCTATGTATCTATCTGCTCTGGTTTTTCCAGCAAAACTTTGTCTATGAAATTTCATGCATACAGTTGTGGCATTAAATACTATAAAACAAGAGCGAAAAATATTTATATTAATATTGCAAAAGTGATATTAAAGGGATAGTTCACCTGATAGTGTCTGTTTTTTATCCATGCAATGGAAGTAAAAGGTCGTGCAGTGTTGTTTTGTTTGCTCTGACGTAATTTATATGCTAGTCTATTCTTAAATTTGACTTTTAACTGATATTTACTGGAAAAATGGCGTAGGATTTACTTTGAACCAATGAGGAATTGCTAGTAAATTTGATTTGATTGCTATGCACAGGAATTGCTAGTAAATTTCACAAATAATTACAAAGAAACAGCAAGTACACTATGATTTACAATTATAAGTTGTAAAATGATTGGAGCATGTTTTAGAAGAATATACCGTTTCAGTCTTTCTGCTTCAAAATGTCATGTTTAATTCGAAGTGTTACTATTTCTTTGTAATGATTCTGAAATATAGCAATTTCTGAGTAAAAACTTAAATCCTACACCATTTTTTGTCAGTGTAACACTGAATATTTTTTAGTGTGCACATTAGAAGTTTCAACAGAAAGTCTAAAAATATTGATCATCAGTAGAGTTTACAAATGCCTTCAGAACGAGAATGTCATACGAGGAAAGAATAGTGATTTCATGAGAAACAAATTATAAGACTGAAATCTCTCAGATGCAGAAACGAAACCCTTTGTGTACGTTTTTGTGACTGTACAGAGCACATGCATATTTAAAGAGGCCTTTTATGATTGGTTCTTTGTTGAAAAACCACATTTGAGCACCGTGTTGCTTCATTGGCAGTGTCATTCGGGGTTTGCAACACATAAAGTGTAGCGTGAAACACCCTTTTGATTTCTAAAAGCATCATTTTCCAGCCTTCCGTCACCTGCACTCGAATGTGCAATCCTAAAACAAAGAGCATTTGCATTCATACTCAAACTCTACAGAAGGCTGGGCTTTATTCATGAGTTTTTATCAAATGATATGTCCAGAGTACCTCATGACCAATGTTCCTGGACTAAAGTCACACAGCTTGGCCGGCTCGATGTGGTTTTTGTCCCAGCTGGCCAGTTGGTAAAGTGGTTTTGGACGCTGTCCACTTTGTTTCTGAGCGCCACGCAGCTGCTCTCTCTAGTGAAGCGGTTTCCAGCCTCCTATCCTGGCACGTCTGACACTCTCTAGCATGTCTTCTATCAGCGCGGAGCAGTTGTCTTCATGCATGAGAGCACATCTAGTGTACAATAGGAGGTTTCGCTTTGACGAAAGCCCTGTTTATGACTCTCTCAGAGGATCTGCGGCCCGCTATACATCACAGACACACACACAAACCTCAACATGCACTAAACAAGTCTTTATATAACCTCACTTTGCTTCGAAAATGATCTGAAAAATCTTTTTTTTTTTCTTTTTTTTAATGGAACAGATTATTAAGCCTTAGACAAAATGTATGTTTTTTTGTTGAGTATCATATTTGATCCATCAGGCTTTTCTGGCTAATATAGTCTGATACAGTGAGAATATGATGGAAAAATACCTCAATTTTATTCAGAGACTCAAACTGAGCAAAACATGCATTTTGGTGCAGATGCTGATATTTACAGTATATGATGAAATGCTGATGCTTGTAAATGTAAATCAATGAGATCTTTCTAACAGTAGAGCAGATACTTACATAAAATGATATAAATCTCAGTCGTCACTCTATATCTCCAGTAATCTGTCTCAGTAAGATGAGATTGAAATGATCCAAACATATAATGCAATGATTGAGAGCTGAAGAAATAAAGGTGAGATGTTCTGGAGGCTTGTGAAGATCATTCCTCCGCTGAGGAACAGTGAAAGTAAAGCTTCTGGAAACAAACGCTCCTCAAAAGATCCTGAGGATCAGATTTGAGACTCTAAAACATGATTGATGGAGAATCAAGTAAAGCTGAGCTGCTTCAGTCCAGTAAGTGTTCATCTGGAGATATTACTGCAGTTATTCTCACGTTTACTTGATCAAAATCAGTCAAGACTTGACACGAGAAGCTCCAGCTGAAGCCATTACACTAAAAGAGCTTTGACTTGATAAAAAAAGTCTAAAGTATTAATCAATAGGTTGTGTGGTTTTTCACCAAAGTTTTGATCATGTTGATCACTTAGAAGCTGTTTTGCGCATTAAATATTTCTGCATCAAATATTATTCTGTACAGGCTTTAAAGGGTTAAGCAATGGATGCATTGTTACATCATTTGATTAGCTTGTGTCGTTCTAAAACCTGCACTTTTTCACAAAATATCAAACCCATTTGTAATACAGTCTGAATTGAAAGATATGTGGAAGGATGTGTTGTAAACAGCATTTTGTTTACGTATTTATGCATTTGTTTATGCCCTTTCATCAGTAATCAGTTTTTAGCACCACTTTTTAACTTTGCCCTTTGCTGTACTTACTTCTGTCAAGCATGAAACTCCTAATTTATGTTAACTGCTCTGAAATCTGTAGCACCGATGTAATATCTATCGCAGATCTCTGCTGGAGAAGGAGTTTCAGCTCGTTGAATGTCTGTCCTGCCAGAGCAGGTCTGGGATTCATTTGCGTAAAACAAACTGCAAATTGTCCATAACATGCTGTAAGAAGTGCCTTGATTCACTTTGTTAAAATGGACGGAAATCCATCCACTAATTGATTGCTGCATATTCAGTAACAAAGCTTCTGATTGGTTTACTTGTGCTCTGATTGCTATTTATGTTCGGCTTTGATGCATTTCCCGCCGAGCGTTTCTGAGAGTCAGGTTTCACTGTGAGTTACTGCAGACTCAGTCAGTCAGTCCAGTAGCCCACTGTAAAAGAAAAAAAGAAGAAAGAAAGTGGAATTATTGATTTCAAACAAGACCAAGATCAACAATGGACCCCATTGACTTTCATTGTACAGACTAACTAACTAAGTTCCGGTAACTAAAAAAAAAAAGAATATATATAACAAACTATTATTTTTACTAGTGTTGAAATATACCCTTAATTTACTTAATTTTTTTTTACCATACTTTTCACCATGTGGAACTGACCAAACTTTATAGAAGACTTTTTTAAAGAAAGTAGAATTAAAGAAGTCTACTTTTTTTTTCTATAAAAAAATAAAAAAATAGATAGATAGATAGATAGATAAATAAAATAAAGATCAACACTGGACCCCATTGACTTTCACTGTAAATAAATAAATAATAAAAGGTCAAGAAACCAATACCTTTGTGTGTTATTTGTGTGTTAAAATATACCCTTATTTTACTCAGATTTATCAATACATACTTTGATCATATGGACTGAATGAACAGTATCAGTTACTTTACTGACGTGAGACACCATAAACACTTAATTGGAAATGTGTTTGAACAATGATTTTAATCAGTTAATTTAATAATAAAGTTGGGTTACATGTCACTGAGATGAGAAATACAAATGAACTTGAACTTACAAAAAAAAAAGAAAAAAAGAATTACTGTTATTTTTTTCCTTATTTCTCTACTTTAGTTTGTCATGTTAACTGCACTAACAGCAGTGAGTTTGGGCAGCTGTGCTCTGCTGTAATCGCGTGTATCGCGTGTATCCGCGGTTAGATGGCAGCAGTCAGCCGTCTTTGCGCATGTCATTGTGTCTGAATTCACTAGATTGTGAGGGGAAAGTCATTTAGAAATCCACGAGAAATAACAGCAGAGAAAAGGAAAGCGCGCATTGAAGGACAGAGAGCGACATCAGGAAGAGGAGGAGCGCTGATCAGGTGAGATGACTGCAGGTAGCACAGTACCTTTCTTTAACTATCAGTTTCTTTTTCTCTTTTTTTTGTGGTCTTTTAGAAATTAATTCTTACCGGTTTATGTAATTAATCTACTAACATTGACATGAATCACATGAGAATTCCGTCATTTCTCTCATATCTCAAACTATGTGTTGTTTAATATTCTCTGGCAAATGACAGTGACTGAAAACATAAATAAGATAAAATAAATAAGCTTTTTTTTAGCTAAAGCTAATTTTATAGCTATATTTTTAACAATCAAATAACATTTGTTATATTTTTGCATAATTTGACAGAATTATTGGAAATTGAGAATGATGCAAATAAAAGTCTATTAAGTCAAGTCAAGTCACCTTTATTTATATAGCGCTTTTAACAATACAGATTGTGTCAAAGCAACTGAACAGCATTAATTAGGAAAATAGTGTGTCAATAATGCAAAATGACAATAGTAAACACTAATTTTCCAGTTAAAGACAGTTCATCATTGAATTCAGTGATGTCATCATCCAGCTCAGTTCAGTTTAAATAGTATCTGTGCAATCATTTGCAATCAAGTCAACAATATCGCTGGAAATGAAGTGTCCCCAACTAAGAAAGCCAGAGGCAACAGCGGCAAGGAACCAAAACTCCATCGATGACAGAATGGAGAAAAAACCTT